TGCAGAGAGTAACTTTTTTTTGAATTGATTGCTTCCTTCCTTTCTTTGAAAGATTCCCACATTGTTTTGTATCAAGATGAAGTAGGTACTAGAAAGCAAAAATATTCTTTCCCAAAAATTAATCATTCCTAAAAATATAACCCTTACAATTTAATCTTTTTTTTATAGTATACTAGTACTATGTTGCTGTATCGCTGCTGTTCCAATGTTTTGACAGAATCAGAATCAAAGAACTTAGGCGTGGGCAGCGTTATAGAACAGTGCTTTCAAAAAATTGTTCTACAGCGCAATCTAGTGGCGAGTTACAGAAAAATTGATATAGCCCAAAAACCTTCTCTATGAAAAATTACTTAGACATGTCAAGTTTCATCACGATCGGTTGAGCGATGTAGAAGTTTATCACTTACCAACCAGCCAACCAACCAACCAACCAACCAACCAACCAACCAACCAAACAACCAACAAACATCCATTTTTTTATAGTAGATTTTATTGTGTTTCCATTGTTGTGTTTTTTTACTAGTATGTAGGTATGTTATATCATTTTTTTAGTATGGTTTGGAGGTTCAACTTCATATCTGTATACTATATCTATATTTCATCAAATCATTGTTCTTTCACACTTATTTTTCTTCATTCACTTATTATTATTGTAATGTTGTGTGAAACCTTACAAATGAATGAAGTTATTATTATTATAGATTGATGATATATGTGCACAGTGCTTCTCAGATAAAATACAATAATCCGAAGTTGATCAAAGCAGCTGTTAGCAGTGGAAAATCAAATATTACGCCATCAAGGGCCACGAGATCAGGTTCTGAGCAGTTCAATTTCAGAGAACACTGTTGTATATGTGGAGATAAAATAACTGAAGAGTTCCTTGGGGTAGAAAGGAAGAAGTCAGAAAAACGGAACAATGTCATTACTGCGGAGAAGTTCTCTCTCGGTGCAACAATCTTGAAAGCAGCTGAGAAACGTGGTGATGAATGGACTCTTAAAATAAAAGAGCGTATATCTGAGAACACAGATTTGGTAGCCCTTCATGACAGATATCATCAGTTTTGTTAATCAAAGCTCTACCAGGCACCACCAACAAATAAACTTATTAACTTTTGTTGTACTTATCTTTTTCACTTCATTATTCGTAGCTCAATAAATAATAGACGAAATCAAAGATGAAATTGTTTTATTTCAAAACTGAAACATGTGTTTTTGAAACATGTGTTCCATAACATAAATAAGAATTCATCAATTTTTCTACATTTCTCTCCTTACTCATTGAGTTGTTTATTTCAGTGTCTTCCTAGTTCATTCTTCACCCTCAAACATCATCGTTCACACTTCTCATTTTCTTTTTTAACATTCCATCATAAAAAGCTTCGATGGTATAGTCACGGTCATAATTAAATTAATCACACAAACTTGGATTATTCATTAGGCCAACATCATAAACAAGTCTGCAAAAAATCAGAACTACCGTATTTGACGCATGCTGTGATGTATAAAGTTACTGGACATACTGATAGTATGTCAAGATGATGCGGTGAAATTAGTTTGATATCAGCAGTAATTTTAGATACCGAAAAATCAAGAGTAATCACGTCCTGTTCTACAACTCAAAACCGTTAATGTCTTCACGAATGATCGTCAAATATTGGCAAGTGAATATTTACAAAATCGCAGCGGTCATTGGGGAAAAAGAATATACAGCACGAAAAGTCAATAAAACGGTCAAACAGTGTTCAAACCACATCAAATGATTTCTAGCGTTTCTAGATTGAGTACCCAAGTTTACCATCAATTATCGTAGTCAAATATTATGACTTCAGCGAACGATCGTTGATCTGGTGTTATTTTTTCAGTTTGGCTTAATGGGTTTCATTCATTATGGGCTACAGAGTGTGAATTGTTTATATTATATAAGAACAAATAGAGAACGCACGTTTGTTTGTCATGATGACCAAATTAATCACTTGGTTATTTGAAAACTCTAAGAATTTGAAATTTCTTTTGACTTACAAAACAAGTCATTCATGAATGAAATATGAATGAAAATAATTCTCATGTAGTTTCTTTCTCACTGATTAAATATATTGTGAGGCTTGATTGTTAAATCTCGTAACTGCCATTTCACATATTTTGAATGAGAGACGTAATAATTAGTAAAATAAATGTTTATTCATTTCATGATGAAATGGTTATTCAAAACATACTGCGAGGCATATCAAATCTTCTGAAAGAGTAGACAGATATTCAGAAAGTGAAGCAGTAATCGACAGAAAATCGTATATTTATGTCGTAAGGGGGCAAATCTGGAACGTGTGGTGGCAAAACTACAACTGCAATGCCGCGAAAAACTGATTTGTATTATCTTTCACGACAGTCTGGTCTTGAGAAACAGCATTTTGATACATGAGTACAAAATGTATTTACGCAAAACATCCACGCCATTACTCTTAATACACTCTATACTTTTATATATTAACTTTATCTCAATTGTGAACTAAACCGTTGTTAGGCTCAAAGATTTACCTGCGATTGTAATACGACTAATCATTTTAGACATCAAAATTGAAAACTATCGAGGAGAGATGCATACGTATAAGAAAATGAATATTTCAAAATGGAATCTCGAAATGTGATCTACAATCGATTTCTCTTCTTAGTTAGCAACGTTGCCACAGCACTAAATCCACGTTCACACAAATACGATGATGGGAATGCTATAAAAAATCGTTGAACGATGGACCACAATCCAGGGTACAATTACGGGATTGGCTTTTGTAGCCAAAGTTCTTGGTATACATTTTTGAATTTTATTTTTATTTCCTCGTTCGTTATCAGTTCTATGAGTTCTTCCAACTGGGATAATCCTGCTGTGTTGACATTTGAAAAAGGATCCAACACCCAGTCCGGTATTTCCAATTCTAAAATGTCCCGGAATCGTTCTGCGAAATCACTGTGGAGGTTCTCCAAATGATGGCAGTAAACAAGCAGGTCGTCGTTGTTGAAGGATACTGCTGACATTTTAGGAAAATTGCGAAAGTTACGTCTGCCGATATTATTCTTGTACAAGCGCAATTTGGCTACAAAAGCAGCAATTACATTTTTTGTTTTAATCAAATTTAAGTCGTCACCTTGAAGTTGGAGATTGACATCATTAAATAATTTATACAGGTCTGTCAAGTACGCAATATCATTCTTTGAAGTGATGAGGTTGTCGTGCAATTCTTTGTCTTTGTTTTCCAAGTACTCTATTATAGAGTCAAATAGATTGTAAAATCGACAGTTGGCAATTTCCTCTTGATAACTAACGCACTTCTGTGTGAAATAGCAATCGGTTGAAATCTTCATCATTGGCAACACAAAGCTGATTAAATAATCTGTCATTTAAAGAGCTTTTTTGAATTTTATTGACCGCTTTGATTGCAGTGATTGAGAGACACGCCCCCTCAAATTTTTCGCAACCAAATGTTTCCTATGATTGACGCAATGTACAGCGAGCACATCTGGAATTTTATTTTTTAAGTACGCTATGGAGTCTTTGTGACGTTCTGTCATAGCCGGATCGCCATCTGAAGCAGTTGATATACTCTTTAGTGGAATTCCTTTCTCATCACAAAATGTTTTCAGTGTATTATATATGGTTTTTCCGTTTGTATCTAAATTTCTGACAAATAGTAGTTCTTGATATATTTTCTCATTTTTAATAAACCTCACGTGTGACAACAACAATGTCTCATTGGTTGGTAAAGTGGACTCATCTAACTGAATTGAGAATTTAGAAGTCTTGAGATTATTGCACAATGACTCTTCAATGTTTTCAGCCATCTCATCAATTCGTCTTTGCACGGAACTATTGCTCAAAGGAATTTTTCGGATAATATCTGCCGCTGGTTTATGGAGCACAGAAGTATTGCCAGTAAAATTTAATTCTCTCCAATAGTGTGAGGTTTACCTGTTTGAGCAATTAGCAAGGTGATATTGTAGGAAGCTCGGAGTTCGTTGTCGTCTTGCTTAGAAGCCGCTGGAAAGTTTTTGCCACAGTTGGCTGAGCTGAGCGTTTCTTTTTCAGTTCTTGGAGATGAGTCACACTTTTGTCTTTTTCATCTGAATGAATTTTATTCAAATAGTTACTGTCTAGTCCCCTAGATGGCGTTACACGAGGAAACGCGCGTTGAGCGTAAAGGAGCGGTAAAGTTTGTGTTGAAAGCAAACAACATTTTTAAATTAGCCATCGCTCCCCTAAACACAACCAAGCCCAACACCAAACCGTTATTTTAACACCTCTACACGTATTTCGATCACCAAGTGATCATCTTCAAGAGGAATATTAAACAGTTTAATCTTCCCCTTGAAGATGATCACTTGGTGATCGAAATACGTGTCGAAGTGTTGAATATTCATTACTACACCAAAGGTTCTGTTCACAAGAACAAAACTGATGTGAAACAAGTATCGCCTCAGCAATAACATCATTTAATGCAATGTGCTTATTTAGACGCGACAATCAATTATATCAATTATGATAATGATTTATTATTTCAGATTATTCCATGGATTCCCATTTACAATGAAAATTTTAAGATAGTTAAGAAATAAATATTCAACAGCATAACCATTTGAAAATGCATGCGTTTAGACTGGACTTAACATTGCATTATTTTTCCTTAGTCAACTTCACTGTTATGTAATTTTGCCGTCTTCTGATCAAACAGTCGAATTGCTGACTAGAAGAATTCTTTGCACGAACAAACCAACGAGTAAGAAAACATAATAGATTTGCAATGGTAAACAATGCTCATAGGTGCGATAAACGTATTACATCATCGGAGATACCATTATTTGACGGAGATACATGTTTAACGTGGCCTTGTATATATACCATTCTAGAATATATTGGTTTAATAACCAGTATGCGTTGAAGACAATTGATTTCGTGACTTGGATGAATATCATATGTCTTTCATTATGTCAGTCAGTGACAGATTTTGTATTTTATCATGTGCCGAACATTTTTTTTGGGTAAGGTGTGACCACCGCCAATTCGAACGACAAGGATTCTTTTCACGTCATCCAAAAAAGGATATAGCTGAAGACGCAACAACGAAAAATTTCACTGGTGATTTTTAGGACATAGTGATGTTTCATGTTTCATAGTGATTTCACTGGTGATTTTTAGGACATAGTGATGTTTCAATTTTGGTATGAAACTAAAAACAAAACCAAAATTATGAATCCTGTTCTCTCAGCAGTCAGAGTCATACCATTTTGAAGTTATATACACAAATGAAAATATTGAAATATAATTATGGGATCTGGTATGAATTACACATAAGAACCTAATTCAGAGAGCTTCCATTTCAGTTAGAATAAGAAAAGACCGATAAATCCTTACCAGAAAGACGTGTGTCATTTCAAAGTTCCTTCTATCATGAATATACTCTTACTTGGTTCGATTACCAACTTTTTCAAAAGTTTATTTGAAGTTCCATATAAGATTCCGAATAAAGATAGATTCTGGCATAAAATAGGTTTTGAAAAACCGTTTTCTATTCAAGTATCAAATACTTTAACAGCCAATTCTAATTGGCCTTGGAGTCAATCAAATAAAAAAGAAGCTTGGACACTGCCTCAAGTGAAGATTGTGGAGTATTCCTTTCTCTTTAGTCTTGACATTCCACAATTCCCAATAACATTTGTGACACGAAACAGAACATTAAAACGAAGAAACATCGACCCACGAAAAACATTTAGATTATTTTACATGTACTTGCTACTGAAAGAAACACTTCCATTGGTATCTTAATTGAAGTAATAAAATGTCATACACTTGGGACAACGGAAGATTACAAATGCATCGTCGAATGAAAAACGCGATAGAGCACATACTTTTATATATCATCGTCTTTTTCTGTAAGTGAGAAATGAAGACAAAACTGGACGTTCAGCCCGTGTGAGCTTTTTTATGATAGCTCGCACTCGATTCATTGAGAGCTGCATTGATAGGTTTGCAGTATTTTTGAGGTAAGGCTGAAAAATAACGGGGGGCATGGTTATATGTGAGGTAAATGGTGCAAAAATCACAGTCAAACGCCATATTGTAAGTATCGGACCGTGTATCTGCGCACTCGTCGGAATAATTGTATGTATCATGTAAGACACGTCACAAGACATACATAATATGTCACAAGACACATATGATGTGTCACACAACACACGGCGCATGTCACACAACACATATCGCACGTTACATACACTTGCGGTAATAACCGCAAAAACGTCCAGCACGCAAATTACACGATACACCAAAACACACAATAAACAATACAATATACAATACACAACATACAATACACGTCATACAATTCACAACATACAATACACAACACGTGGTTCGTATAAACGATGAGACATCGAAGCTAATCCACAATCAGGACATTCCAAGACCGTAAGAATCGACAAAAAATTAGTAAGACAAGTATGACTTGAATATTTCCATATGAGAAAAGTCTTTAACAAATAAGTGCCTAGAATTCCCTGAACAAAAGGACTCACTAATGAAAAACACCACCAACGATCCTAAACTTTTGAAGTGATAAGTGACGAATAATGATTTTTACCTATGATCCAGGTTATAAGTACCAATCAATTCACCGGAAAAGTCTACATTTTTCATGAGTGAAGAAAGCTTGGATGTCCAAATCGAAATTCAACGCCTTGATGGTTGTTTTTTTGACATATGTAAATCGAATTTCCGCAGGACCAATATCAAATGAAGAATTTTATTTAGCTTCTCTTTGTGAGATTAAAAAGAAAACGACTAGATTTGTGAAAGAACAATTCATGAATGCATCAACAGGATAATGCACAAATTGCACTGATGCACTTTTGGTCAAGCCTGGGATTCCTGTGTAGGAATTTACTTACCAGATCTAGCATCGTGTGACTTTTTAATGTTTCCGAAAGTGAGGAAAGCATTGAAAAGAACCAGGTTTAATAGGGTGGCATCTGTGAAATGAACAATCTTCGAAAACATGAGTCACAAACATTGTATTGAACATAGAAACGTTCGAATGAAAAAGTATGTGGTAGTGGAATGAAATAGTTGTTTTCAACACGAATAAACTGCGGACAATTCATGCTAAAATTTGATATCGTAGTCAATGAATAAGTAAAGGCTTCTCCTAATATTTCGCATAATGGAATATTGTAACTGGCAGATTTCAGAGTTACAGTATACAATATAAAATATAATGTATTCATATAATATTCAGTAAAGTATTGATGAATGTCATGAATTTATACCAAAATCGCATATAAAGGCGGATTTCCACCAAACGGACTCGCTTGCGAGTAGTTTCGTTTTCAAAAACAGAAAATAAAATCAAAACTCGAATTTCACGAAACAAACGAAAATTCCGAATCTGAGTCGCGTGTTTTGTGATGAAATGAAGAATAGTTTCTATCATATCTTCTTTGGACTATATTCTATAATGCGCTGCGATTTTTTTACATTCGAATATTTTTAGCAGAAGAAGCGAAAACGAAAAAAACATGATGCCAGATGAGATCACTGTTGACGAGACGAATAGATTATGGAACAACACACAAACCTTCTGATCTTTCCGCCTAACGACGGGATATATCGTTGTCGACGAAAACAGTCGCCCGCGACATGATGTTTCTTGATTTGACAACTCAAGTCGAAATCGACACAGTTTTTGTTTTGTTGTGGTTTTTACCGTTTGGTGGTTAGGTTAGGTTTAGGTTCAGTCCAAAGTGAGTGGGTCTATTTAAACTCCCACGCAACCCACAAGGGTTTATTGTGTCTCACACCTATTCACACTCGACCAAATAAATCCAGCTTCTTAACGAAGCCGATTACTTCCTATGGTTGGTGGTCTTTCAGTTAAGATGGTAAGAGTACAGTTCTGCCAAAATTCTAAAAACCTGATTTGGTTCTCAGCGGGACAGGCACAAAGTATATGCTCTGCTGTTTTATCATTTTCTAAACAGAGGAGACATACACTGTCTTCTGAAAGTCCGAGTCTCTACATATGATTATTCAAATGACAGTGACCTGTTCATCCTCACTGTAGTCCAACAACTGTTTGGAATCAAGCTCCGAAGGGTGAATGAACGCTTTGGAGTGAGCCAATCCTGGAAGATTCTGCCGGAAGTCCATAAATCTTTTTTCCATCCAGGTGTTCAATCTTTGTTTGGCAAAGCCCAAAACGATGTCAATGACGATGAAGCTGGTCCGATGAAGCTGCTTATAGCACCCTCCTTTGCGAAGGAGTCAGCAGGCTCATTGCCTTCCAGGCCAGTATGGCCAGGAATCCAGACCAGAGATAATCCGTTAAGTATTCCTATCGAGGAGAGTCATTTTTGGCAATTTGCTACCAATTTAGACATTGCTCGGTAGGAGCCAAGAGCTTCCAACGCCGCTTGACTGTCCGAGACTATTTTCATTGACTTGTGTGTAAGGTTAGATTCTTCAAATCTCTCCGCACACAATTCAACAGCGTAAATTTCCGTTTGAAATACAGTCGCATAGGTTCCTGGGCAGGTTGATATCTCTGTCCTGGATCTGCGACTGTATTTGACTGTATTACATTTGATTCGTCAATCGTCACCAGAATAATATGTCACCACACACAAGCTGGATTTTTATTTATTCTAGGCCTCATATTACTGAGTTTTTTTTTATTAGACATTTGATTTTGTAACAATA